AGTGGCATTTTTGCACATTGATACTCCTAAGTGGCATTCTTACAAATGTATACACCAAAAGTGACATTTTTGTAATTGAAAGGAAATAACAAAAAAAATAAAATGTATAATTGAGTAATCATGTTAAATGTAAAAAAAAAAAAAACGGACAACGCAAACGTTTGTTTGTTAAATTCAAAAATATCAGTGAACGTCGTTGTATGACAAATTCATGGGAAAACTATTTTGCACAAAAACCCTAGACTTCACATCACAACTTAGGTCACAAAATAATTAATTATAGTATTACTTAATCTAAATAGTATCTCTCTGTCTAAAAACTAATATTACTTGATCACATAGTAGTCGTTTTAAATTGAATATGATGATAACCACTGTTGGCAAAAAGTTTTCCATACTTACCGATCGACTAAAACATGAAAATATATGGATTCGAAGAAGAAGAAAATCTTGTGTTTCTGGTTAGTGATATTAAACAAAATTCAAGAGTAGGTATAAGGTGGACGAACTCTCCACGATCTCACCGTAGACATGTGGCCATATAACCAACTTGTCTAACCAGGATTTTGTCCAAAATAAATTTCATGTGGGGATACAAGCACAAACTTTGCCTTATTTTCATGTGGGTTGGCCAAACTAGGTTTTGGATTGGATCTTTTAGGTTTTGGATTAGATTTGGGTTATTTAGATTAAGAATTATTATACCAAATTCAATCCAACTAAAATTTGGATGGGATCTCTTAGGTTTTGGATTGGGTATGGGTTATTTTGATTAAAAATTATTGTACCAAATTCAATCCAATTAATATTTGGATTGGATTTCTTATGTTTTGAATTGGGTTTAAATTGTTTGGAACAAATAATTTTAACAAAATAAACTTAATTAATTTTATTTGGGTTATTTGGAGAAGTTTGAAAGCATATGGCTGAAATTTCTGTCGATGTTTTTTTTATTCTAAAAGTTTAGTTAACTTATCATTAGGGTTAATAGTAAAATTAGGTAAATTTACGTATATCGAAAATGTTAACAGTATATTACTATTATTGATATAAGTAATTTTAAATATATTTACAAGATTAATCGTAAACTTTTAAGTTTGATTTAGGCAACTTTACATTTATATTGAGTTATATACTAATGTGTTGCGTTAAGGTCGATCGATCCAGTTGTAAAAAACTTGATTCTGGTCGATCCGCAGGTCTTCTGATTTTTTGTAAAACATCGGATCGATCGATCCACTTATAAAACTTCGAACAGATCGATCCGCAGGTCATCCGATTTTTTTAATAAA